TAAATACTGCTTTCTGAAGACTAGATACTGCCGACAGGTCTAAATACAGCGTCTGGAACACTAAATACTGGTTTCTAAAGACCAAAATTGCTTTGTGGAGACTAAATACTGCTTTCTAAAGACTAGATACTGCTGACCGGTCTAAGTACTGCTAAAGAAAGATAAGATATTGTTGGAGAAAACATGCATAACGTTGGCAGGAGACTAAATACTGCTTCTAGAAGATTAAATACTGCTTTCTGAAGACTAGATACTTCCGACAGGTCTAAATACAGCGTCTGGAACACTATATACTGCCTTCTAAAGACTAAAATTGCTTTGTGGAGACTAAATACTGCTTTCTGAAGACTAGATACTGCTGACAGGTCTAAATACTGCAAAGAAAGACAAAATATTTTGGAGAAAACATACATAACTTTGGCAGAAGACTAGATATTGCTTCTAGAAGACTAAATACTGCTTTCTGAAGACTAGATCCTGCCTACAGGTCTAAATACTGCAAAAGAAAGATAATATATTGTTGGTGAAAACATTAAAAAGGCGCCGGCGCCCTCTTTTAGTCGGCGCTTGAGTGCAGTGCACCTCTTGCACCCCCCGGTAACGCCGTTTTTGGTCCTAAAGCTTCCTCTGGAATCCACTCTATATCTCCAGTTTCTTGGTGGAGAGCTTGTGCGGTACAATGATGAAGTGTTGATCTAGAAATTCAAAGTTGGGCTTTTGAAACTGATTCAGATATAGACTCATCACAAACAGCAAATAAATATGTATTTTACTGTTTTACACGAAATTTAAACTATGTTAGGCTCTACTCTACGAGATGTTTCTAATGAGCTATTAATCATTCAAATCAATACACAAACAATAAAGTTCTTTTATGGATGGAATTTATGGCTAACTTCACACGGATGAAAAAATTTTAATAAGAACTATCAATTAAAAGTGAGGTTATTTTCTATTTGTTTTTATTTATAATCACAACTTATAAACAATTTACAAAAATTACAAACGTAACAAAACCCTATTTCCCCACATTTTTTTAACGCATCATCAGCAATATAAATATATTTCTAGTTCGTAACACACTGGCATCATTTTTAGGCCTTTTAAATCACAATCGGCGAATTTAAATCATTCCATTTCCCCATTAACAACCTCCTCCATTTCAATCAAAGTATTATACAATCTTTTTTTGATATCTTCCGATGCGGCAGTCCTCGGTTTCCCTAATTCCATATCAGGATTAGAACATTGTCTCAAAATCGCAGCTAATTCCGATGGGGTATGCGGCACCATCAACAAACCCGGCACCAAAATCGTCTTTGACATTCTCCATCCTAAAAAAATTTTCTCGCAAACTATTTGAAGGTTATTATTAGTGACTTGAGTGCATTTTTTCGTTAATAAATTACAACGTCCTCTACAATCTAGATATTCGCAATCGGAGTCATCTCGGCAAGATGAAATCGATGTTTGTAGATAACCGGAAACTATTGATTTCGGATGTACGCTCATTAAATCTAAAAATTTAATTTTCGTCCTCGATTTAGTAAAACCAAAATGTTCCGTTCTAATATCGCATAAATGATAATGCTCGTGAAACCCATTTTCTAATTCATCTAATAACTCGATTATTAACAAGGCCGTTTTAAGACGTGCACCCCAATCTTGTTTATCATACTTTATCGTCCACATCGATGAAGTATCCAATATTGGATCGAGTTCTTCAACGGCGTAATAAACACCACAGGTTCCTATTAATTGTGGAAAAACGTCTCTTTCGATGTATAAACTTGAAATTAAATATTCGTTGTCTTGTAATAATCTCCATAAAATATCGATTTCTTTTTGTCGGCGCCCCAAATTCATTTCTTGGTAATTCGGTTTTAATCGTGATAATTTATTCGCGCTTTGTATTGTAATGTTAAAATTTAATTTGTTGTATACGATCGCTTGGATTGTTCTTAAAAAATCTTTTTCGCTTGGATATTTTAACTTCCCATTATCGTACCAATGAATAGAGCTGGGGTTACTCGTAATCTTTTTAAAAACCATCTTCGTTTCGTGCCATTCAATCGTAAAAACACTTAATTTATTTGATAAAAAGTTCTCGCATGATATCGTTTTTACTTCTTTTGTTGTACAAAGCGGTATGCATAATGATCCAATTGCTAAATCTTTTAAAAATAAATCGCACTAAAAAATAAATAAATAATTTTGAAGTTTAATGTCACTTTGACGTTTCAAATAATTTGAGAGAAAAAATTAAGTTGGTACCACTTGAGTTACGTCAAAAAATTTTATTGATTTTATTAAAAAGAAAATTAATTTGCACTTACGACAGCGTTGATTTGTAAAGGGGCCTCGATAAAAATGCAAATATAATTCCATTTGTACACAAAATATAATAAAACGCACGTTATAATTACGGCTATATAAAAATGGAATCTTAATTTGTACGAAATCCTGCGTAATCTTCTAAAGAATATTTTCCAATCTCTCATCCTCATCACGATTAAAACTTTGTGAGTATCAAAAGGGGTTGTTTTAAGACATTTTGGATGGTTTTTATGGGTTTCTTAGGAGGTTAGAAAAGTGGTGGAGTGAAACGTCACTGGGGTTGTTTTTAATGGGGGTTATAACCTATAAAATGCGCATGCGTCATTTTCCGGCAATAAATTTTTATTAAATTGTCTAGTGGAAATGCCGCAGTAAAAAGATAAATAAAAAGAAATAATTAAAGGAATTAACTCGATTTTTTAACAGATTGAAGATAGGCGCGTATTGTTTGTTATGAAATGAAGTTTGCTAAAAACTGAATTCATTGGTTTTTTATTTCTTTTAAGGAAAAAGATAAGTAAATCAATACTTTTTAGATAAAAATGTTTAAATAATGAGTTGGGCCCGTTTCTTATTTACTTACTTAATAATCTTTATTATAGTATAAAATATGTACAGGGTGGTTCAAATTCGATGTCCGAATAGGCTAACTCGGAAACTATAAGAGTTAGAAAAAAAGTAGCTTACATGTCATGATCTCGTTTTTTGAGAAACTGCTAAAGAACTTTTGGTAGTTCCTAAGAAAAACGATCTTCATGGTAAAAAACAGTGGCGAGCAGTGGTTGATTTTCGAAAGCTGAATGAAAAAACAATATCCTCAGTTCATCCGTTACCAAACATCACCGAGATTTTGGATCAACTCGGAAATTCAAAGTTTTTCAGTTCATTGGATCACCAAGTGCGCATGTCACCTTCGGATAAGCATAAAACGGCTTTTTCCACGGCATATGGCCATTATGAATTTAATCGTATGCCATTTGGACTCAAGGGACTCAAGGGAGCACCAGCTACTTTTCAAAAATTGATGAATTCTGTATTAGTAGGGTTACAAGGAATCAAATGTTTTGTATTCTTAGATGATATAATTATCTATGGGAAAACACTTCAAGAACACAACCAAAAATTAACTGAAGTATTCGAACGATTAGAAAAAAGTAATTTACTTACTACTTATTAATACTAGTAGTTGTAGTCCTACTTCTACTTACTTATTAATGGAACTAAATATCTTGTTCAACTTTATTTCAACAAAACTGCAAATCAACGACCTGAAGAAGTTTGCCAGATACACTACAGGGTATGAAGATTTTTAACAACTAACAATTCTTGTGTTAGTTTTAGTGATAGTGATAGTGTAAAACTAGATAGATTTACCCAGCCACATCGTAGATCTTGCCAAACACTGCTTCAATAATGCTTAATCGTTAACAGAAGCCAGACACAAACCCAAGTTATGGATTCGCTACGTCGATGATATCTTCGTCATTTGGCCTTTTGGAAAAGAAAAGCTCCATGACTTTCAGGAGTACCTAAATACTAGCATCCAAAAATCCTTTTCACCACAGAAGTAGAAGAAAACGGACAGCTTCCATTTCTCGACGTGTCCTCGTAAAGAAATCTTCCAACAGGCTCCAGAAAACCCACACACACAAATCGATACCTCAACGCCCTTAGCCAACCCAACCCATCATCACCCTTCACAGATACAGTCAGTCGCCAACTCCCTGATTTCAAGATCTATTCAACTAACGGACAACGAAAGCAGAACGGAGGAAATAACAAAGGTACCTATGGCATTTTCACAAAATGGCTACTCCAGGTATATGATAAAGAAACCCATCGGCCGACACTCCAAGCCTCGGGATCCACCCCTACAAGACGAGGAGACCCAACGTTGTACTACCCTACATTAGCGGAACAACTGACCGCATAGAAAGGCTTCTACAAAGACATGACATATCCACCATTTGAATTTATTCCATCCCCTGCGGCTTATGTGACAAGAGCTACGTGGGACAGATCAACAGAAGAATAGCCGCCAGAGTGGAGGAACACAAGTTGAGCATCCGCAACAAGCAGCTCACATCTGCTCTCTTCCGCCACTATCTGGACACAGGATACACCATCAACTTTGAGGGCTGCAAGGAAATAGCCAACGTTCCACACTGGAGGACCAGACTCATCCGCGAGTTCATCGAAATAGAGAAGAATGGTACCCTCAATAAGAGAGATGACGTTCTGCACTTGTCAGCCACTTGGAAAACAGTCCTACTCTGTCCCCGATCCAGAACAGCCTTCCTGAGAGATGAACCATTAAGCTCCGGACAACAGGTCAATGAACTCTCCGCAGGACTTGCGACATCTGGTGGAGAAACCCCAAAGCCGGTAACTGCCAGACGGCAGGTCAATAACCTCTCCCTACCACCCAGGTGGAAAAACCCCAGGGCCATCAACCGCCATGCAGGCCAATCACCTGTTCCTACCACCCATAGTTGACGTCACGTCTGACATCACACCTGTCGTCAACTTCCCCTATTTTTTCTGGTTCACGAACTATTTCGAAAATGTATTTTGGTTGGTAACGTAGATTGCAAATTGTGTATGGTAGCACCATCTAGTGGATTGTTATAGCAAGTAAAATTCCGTCTTTATTTTATACCTATCAAAAAATCATACCCTGATGACAGCTAAACGGAATGTTCCTAGGTCTAGTGTTAGTTCTAGGGCTAGTATTAGTCTAGTTTTATATGTTTCTAAACTATTAAACTCTAAAATATTATTGAACTCATTTATTAAAACTCCCGTGACAGCAAAGTGACGTTCGGTTGATTAAACAAAAAGTTACTATATGTAAGTTTCACAGTTATTTTGGCGATTCACCGCGGTTCATATTGGCAACAATGTTCTTCTTCTCCTTCTTAAAGTTTTGGGTCGGTAATGAGATTTGGAAACGAGTCCTTCTTTTCTCAGCCACTGTCAACAATCTTTTTTTGAATTTTATAATTTTAAGGTTATGTTTCGATTTAACGATTAATTCTCAAAAATATAATATAAATATAAAATAAATGTAAATTATCTAGTAAATACTTTAGAAATTGGATTATTAAATTGCTGCTTATAAAAAACACAGGTAAAAATTACTGCAACTATATCAACATTACCAACCTCAAAAATCCATTTGACGTTTATATAAAATTTGACATCACGTACTGTCAGGAAAAATAATAGTAATCTGTGTTTACTAAGGTGCAGTTTAAAATGTTCTTCACCGTTCGGTTGTCGAACTGCAGAGGTAACATATATATCTACTTTTGCTTTAATTTTTCTAATTGTAAGTGGATTTCTACGGATTTTGCATACTGTATGTAATAACAAGAATTTAGGAATGTCAAATTGACGTTTTAATGACATTGACAGATGGAAAATAGAAAATGGAATGAATGAGTTGAAATATAAAAGTTTTTTGATAACTTTTAAGTAAATTAAGATATTTTGATGATTTATATCTCAAAGAAAAGCCCAATTGATGACAAATCAATAAGAATATGGTACATTTCAACAAAATTTGTCTTTAAAGATACCTAAATGTTGTCAAAAATAAAATTACGTTTCATTTAATACTACTATAATATTTTAGTATTTCCTCACAAGTTAAAGTTAACTCAAATAGATATAAACATAAATACAAGATAAGAAAGTGGTAAAATTCTGGATCGTTCTAGAAAACTCAATTACTTTCCAGAAATCTAAATCAAAAATATAAACGAGAATATTACATTAAAAAAAAAGTTAGATATGATTTTTCTCCCTTCAAAAAGGACGAAGAGAGGTCAAAGAAAAAAAAATCTTTGTGGATTTGCCGGTAAGATATCGTGTGGGCCATGAACGTCGTATTCCCATTGATGAAAGGGAGGGGAGCAACGATCACAACGCACTAGATGTGGCTTTGCTCGCGAACCGTTCGGGTGGCAAACTCGATGTGGACGCGACCTTCTAACGCCCTTGCAACGCGAGTGTCGTGCAAAAAACCAAAATTATTACATTAAAAAACTCTACTCTTCCTCCCCTTCTTAGGGACAGAAAACAGAACATCACAACGTTTTTTCCTCTTCTAACCCGGCTCGAAATTAAATGGTAAATCACGAAAGTTGTGGTAGGTTGCGATGTTGTTAGTTATGATAAATATTTTGATGTGTGCGCGATAAGAAGTCTATGTATAAATTGTAATTATGATAAAAATGTTTGGTTTTACAATAATAATTATTATTATTTTTTTATTTAAAATTGATTCAATATATTTAAAAATAAATACAGTGGAGTGCAAAGACTTCGAAACTCGTTCCCGATCGCTATTTATAAGTCCGAAGAGCGAAAGCCGGTCGAACGATGCGAAATTTGTATGAGAATGGTGTCGGGTTATTGTAGTTTGTATACGTTGTTGGATGTTTAAATTGCTAACAATTGTGAGAGGTCAAAAATTATATTACTTTTAATTGAAAGAAAGTTGCCCAGACATCTATTTCAGATTCTATTTTCGTATCATTTTTATGTATTGATTTGTATACAATTAAATCACCCGGTATGTGTGAAAAGTTAGGTTAGAATCGGTTAACTAATTTAAGCGAAAATTAACTTAAATTTTTAGATTTGCTTAAAATTTTACGTAAATATCATTACATTAAGTAAAATAACGATTAAATCAAATTAAAAAATAGTGGTGAATTAGTTAGAATTTATTAAATTTTATAAAATTGGTTAAAGTGAGGTTAGGATTCTTAAAAATGGAAATTGAGGTTAAAATTGAGTAATGATTGGAATTAATAACATTAGACTTGATGTAATTGGGTTGAATAGCCTAAAATAAATAACATATTGTTAACTTGTCTTTTAGATTACTTGTTGCTATCTTCAACAATATGATGAAAGTAATTATGTATTGATTTGTATAAAACTAAATCACCCGGTATGTGTGAAAAGTTAGGTTAGAATCGGTTATCTAATTTAAGCGAAAATTAACTTAAAATTTTAGATTTGCTTAAAATTTTGCGTAAATATCATTATATTAAGTAAAATAATGATTAAATCAAATTAAAAAATAGTGGTGAATTAGTTAGAATTTATTAAATTTTCTAAAATGATTTAAAGTGAGGTTAGGATTCTTAAAAATGGAAATTGAGGTTAAAATTGAGTAATGATTGGAATCAATAACATTAGACTTAATGTAATTGGGTTGAATAGCCTAAAATAAATAACATATTCTTAACTTGTCTTTTAGATTACTTGTTACAATCTTCAACAATATGATGAAAGTAATTATGTGTTGATTTGTATAAAATTAAATCACCCGGTATGTGTGAAAAGTTAGGTTAGAATCGGTTATTTAATTTAAGCGAAAATTAACTTAACATTTTAGATTTGCTTAAAATTTTACGTAAATATCATTATATTAAGTAAAATAATGATTAAATCAAATTGAAAAATAGTGGTGAATTAGATAGAATTCATTAAATTTTCTAAAATGATTTAAAGTGAGGTTAGAATTCTTAAAAATGGAAATTGAGGTTAAAATTGAGTAATGATTGGAATCAATAACATTAAACTTGATGTAATTGGGTTGAATAGCCTAAAATAAGGTTAACATATTCTTAATTTGTCTTTTAGATTACTTGTTGCAATCTCAAACAATTTGATGAAAGTAATAAGTACTTAATTGTTAATAAAAAAGTCTCTATATTTTTTAATTACATTCCCTAAAGGTGCTAAATTCCACACAAACAATGGATTGATTATGTTCAGTAGATACATTTTCACTATTTTGAGGGAATGTTATCAAAAAACTTCTTATTTTTGTTTCTTATCTAAACGAATTTAGAGGATGCAGATGTTGAAATTACTTGTACATCTAAAAAGAGCTTAATTGTTTTCTCCAAGCCGAGCTTTTTTTATTAAAAACCACAGTACCTACTTATTCTAAGACTTATAAGATAATTTTCTTTCACCGAAATTATCTATATGTGTGTATAATAAGTCTTCTATCATCACCCTTTAGTTCAGTCTATTTTAATCTTTTTAATAGTTTGTTTTGAATTGACATTGTTTTGCTGACCTCCGACCCAATAACCAGTACATTTTGCAATTACATTTAACGTCTATTGTTCCTCTTTCTTTTTGATGTATACAGTGTGTTAATTAATTATCGTACCCGACAAAGTATGCAACCAATATCACAGATTGGTATTGCAACGCGACGAAAGTTCCTAAAAACGATGGCGACAATTCATTAACTTTAGAAACCGTTTAAAATATATTTAGTAATATAAAGTAGTAATATATTTTAGTAATTAAAAAAATATTTTAAATATAAAAAAAATCTAACTTTCTGTCCTTTTATTTAAAATAATTTTTAGTGTACCCATAGATTGAAATTAATGTTGAAAGTAGTGGTTATTTTGTTTTGTTTATTGGGTTACCGCTTAAAGCAACCGCTAGAAACAACGATAGTTCTAAAAAGAACTGTTAAAGAACAAAGAAAAAACGGAAACTCACAAAGCGTACTACAATCACAACAATAACGTTCGGTCAGCTGTCAACATCTACTTACTAATTTAAAATTATCCAAGTTACCACTACATATTGAGGTATGCAACCAATATTACACAGATCACGTGGGTTAGGATAATTAATTAACACAATGTACTTTCCACCGAAACTTCGCATTCGTTGTCATGCCAAGATATTCAGCTGTGTCAGAATATGATGCTATAATTCTATTGATAGTGACAGGAACGTAATTGATGAGCTTGTTGGTAAAGTTTATGGGTAGATTTTCCTTCTAAAAGCCAATACAAAGACTTGTGGAAAACATGCCATGAAGGGTTGAGGTTATAATTGCTGCACGTTAGAAGAATTCATAGTTTTACAACTTGATAATGGAAAAAATCTAGATTCGGAGGATGTTGTAGAAATACTTTTACAACAAAAGTTCTAGCACATTTTACTCTTAACACATCAGATGCATTAATGTCGCGAAAAATACAAAAATATGAAAATTAGGAAAATTCGTAGTTTTGCAAGCTGATAATGACAAAAAAATTGGGATTCGGAGTATGTTACAGAAAAACTTTATGAAATATTGACAGTGCTTTACAATTTTTTGTACCTTCCCTTATGGATAGGAGAAAGATCTGAGTGTATATCGTTGAACAAATTTCCCATTTAACTATTACATCTAGTTCTGTCGCAGAAGAAATTTTATTTATTTAAGACATTCTTGAATACATCAAACCTTAAGTTGTATAAAATTTTGTACGACCCAACCCAACCCATTTCGACACTTTTGTTCCACTTTCTTTTTTAATGTAACTATATATAATTAACTTTAATATACAGGTGTTCCTTTGAGAACTTTCCACTTCAATTTCTGGACAGTTGGAAATTTTTAATAAAAAAAATGCAGAAACTCGTAAAATACAAATTTAGTGGTGTCAAATCAGGAGACCATTATGTAGGTCATCTTCGTTCTATCCATTTATTTACAAATATTACCGTACTGGATGACCATAATAACCTTGTTGAAAATGTAATTCACTCTATTTTGCACTGGCTAACGTTTTGCCATGTTGCCTAAGTCTTTTACAGGAAGTTTTGTCCTGTGCTGTCGTTAATGCATTCCATAATTTGCTGGCCCACGATTTCATGCGTTTTTAGTCACTTAATCGTTAGAAATCGCTTTTTCAGCTTTTCCAGATCTCATGTTCTGCCTTCTCTATAGTTATCGTATTCACGTTGTCCCAGTCTTACCAGGATAGTTTTTCACTTAGCAGTTGAAGATTCATGATGTTCTTGTGTATTCTTTCACGTAGTTGGAATGCTTTATCCTATGGACCGCAGCTAAGTCGATAGGGTGCTTCAGTTTAAAAAAAAGTTGGCGTCACACTCTTCTCTCTGCATTTTTGTAAAAAGATGTAAGGCTCAAAAACAATCCGCGTTGTTTAAACCTTAAATTGTCTAAATCAAAGAATACAAAATCAAAAATCTATCTTGGTGTATTAGTGCTGTTGTTTTGTGAATTTCCAGATTTCCAAGAACTATAATGACTCGAATACTCGTAGACTTCAAAAATTAAGTTGACCTTCATGTTATTTTGGCCTTTTAATGAAATTATGAGAGTTCGAATCTGTCGTGTTTGAAATGGCATAGGCCAAGGATGAAACTATTGATTCCATTCAATAATAATTATCTCGTTACAAATTCTATTATACAGGTGCGGCAAAACTCCCTCTCTAGTTTAGTTTGCGTGTAGGAAAGCGAGGTAAATAGCAAGGTATTGCTGCTATTGGTAGTAAATTAACTTCTCTCTCATTCATTGTGCGTTCATCGCACCTCTGGTTCCTCGTGATAAGTTGGCGGATTTTAAATCGAGGTCTTAAATTTAGAACATTAAACCTAGAACTAGAAGCATTCTGATTTAGCCACACGTCTCTCAAGACGGCTAAACCCGAATGATTTTAGTTCTAGGTCTTGTGTTAGTTCTAGTGATAGGTCTAGTGTTAGTTCTAGTTTTAGTGCAATAAAAATATGCAACATAGCGATATCTTATGCTAACTAGCGCTACCTATCACTGTCACTAGAACAAACATTAGACCTAGAACTAGAAACATTCGGATTTAGCCGTACGTCTCTCAAGACGGCTAAACCCGAATGATTCTAGTTCTAGGTCTGGTGTTAGTTCTAGTGACGTACGAGTGTAAAACTAGAGCTAACACTACATTGTTTTACTCGATGTTATGGTAACACTTGAAAATTGGAGCATCTTACAAAAAATCTTTTAGAACAATAGTTGTAGCAAATCTTTTTCTTAACAATATTGCTCTCTTGCACTTTTGCTCTCAAACGCACAGATATCAAGATAAACACAAAAATATGCAAATTTGATGAATTTCGTTGTTTTACTGGATGTTATGTTAACAATTTGGAATTGGATCATCTTACAAAAAAACTTTTAGAACAATAGTTGTAGCAGATCCTATTCTTAACAATATTGCTCTCTTGCGCTTTTGCTCTGATATGTATAAATATCAAGATAAACATGAAAATATGCAAATTTGATGAATTTCGTTGTTTTACTAGATGTTATGGTAATACTTGGGAATT